TGCTCACACACTGTCACTGGGGTGGGACCCTGCTCAGACCTCAGGCTCATATCGTCACCACTATGTTAACACTCTATAGCGGGTTCAGAATGTGCAGACAGACCTCACCTCTGAGCTCATCTGTGGCCAGGCCAGCACAGGAGTGAGGCCATGAGACAGTCTGGAACGAACATTCTGGTACCAGGAGATGAACCACAATCTCATGGGAATAAGGTGGGGTCTATAGGAACCGCCCCACTCTTCCCAGGGTCTCTCAGGTCGAGCCTCCATCAGGAACCACCCAGCTCCTCAGGCAGCTCCCCTGAGCCCTGGCTGATTTGCATACCCAGCTGCTCTCCCTCCAGCAAGGGGATAAGAGAGGCCTGGGAGGAAAGCTGCCCAGCCTGGGGCCTCAGGGAGCAGAAGCGGGGCACCTCCACCATGGCCTGGACCCCTCTCCTCCTCGGCCTCCTGGCTCACTGCACAGGTGCTGCTCCCAGGCTCCCACTCACCACCAACCCCAGGGATCTGGACAAACCTGACCCTGACTCTGAGCTCAGCAGGGCACTGCCTGTGGGGTCCAGATGTCCCAGGCCCTCCACTGCAGGAGGGGGGATGGGGTTCAGTACCTTCCTCTGTGCTCACTGGTCTGAGTGAGCCAGGGTGGATGCAACTGCCAGGAGAAAGGGACAGGAGGGTCTTCATTTCCTCACAGGCTTCATGGGTCAGCTGGACCCCTGGGCTACTAGGGCTGAGACTGATGGCCCAGAGAGTCCCTGTAGATCTCTCCAAGAAGGGCAGGCGAGAGTCTCCTGGGAAGGGGTCCTTCGTCCTTAAACCCACCGTCCTTTCTTCTCTTGCAGGCTCTGTGTCCTCCTATGAGCTGACACAGCCTCCTCAGTGTTGGTGCAGCCAGGACAGACATCCAAAATCACGTGTGGGGGACACATCATTGGCTGTTATTATGTGCCCTGGTACCAGCAGAAGCCAGACCAGTCCCCTGTGCTGGTCATTTATCAAAGCAACAACCAGTCCTCAGGGATCCCTGACTGATTCTCAGGTGCCAGCTCAGGGCACACAACCACCCTGACCATCAGCGGGGCCCAGGCACAGGACGAAGCTGACTATTACTGTCAGGTGTGGGACAGCAGTGGTGATGCTCACAGTGACACAGGCAGGCGGGAAAATGAGACAAAAACCTCAGTCTGGTTCACAGTGTCTTCAGGTCCCATGAGGACTTCAGACAAAGCTCTGAATAGCTTTGGCCCAGGTCCCATTTCTCAGGTCTCCAAACGGCCCCTGCTCCCAGCCTCAGGCAGCTGTGCAGAGGGTGGGTCAGGCTGCATTCAGGGAGGCAGGACCAGGCTGCCTGCTGAGTCTGTGCTGCTGTGTAAGTTCCTGAAGGAGCAACTGACAAAAAGACAGCCTGCTGGGGTCCTGTGTCCAGAAGTAACGACCCTTCAATATCTACAACTTGGTGACTGGGTGGCTCCTTGGTTAAACTTTAGGAATTAACCCCTCGAACCTCCCAGCTCAGCTGAGCTCCACAGGCCCCAGGCTCTGCAGCCGCCCAGGACTCTGACTGGGGCCAACCAGCGTCTGCACACCCAGCACCCCTGCTGAAGCCCCGGTGACCCCTGCTGGAGCCCCGGTGACCACGGCTGTGCCCTCACTGGGAAGTTCCCACTGGGCAGAGAACTGCCTCCCTCAGGGTCATTCCATTCCTTGAGTGTGACTGACATTCGTGACCACCTGATGCCAAGATCCAGGCCCTGCCTCAGGTCACAAGGACCTAGCAGCCTCCAGCTGAGTCCTCCACTGATACCACGTTGCAGTTCCCAGGTCTTGCCTCTGAGCTTCCCTCCAGAGAAACCCCCTGACACGTCCCTGAGTAGGTTCTCCTTGTCAGAGGGAGTGTCCAGGGCCCCAGAGAGGAAATAACAGCCTCGGGGGGGCATGTGGAAGAGGAGAGGGTCCCACACAGGTGACACTCTGGGTGTCTGCAAGTGTTCCCCTGAGATGGGTGAGCACATGTGGGAGGAAACCAGCTGAGGCTGAGGAGGGTGCCACCCAAGGACACGGGAGGGGACGGTCACAGGTCAGCACACCAGCCTGCAGTGCTTGTGCCCAGTCAGGGGGAAGCTCCCAGTTCAGGCATCAGGTGGACCAGTCAGAGGATCTGTGTCCCACAGTGGGGAACTTAGTCCCCAACCAAGGTCTGCACTGGTGACATCTCAGAAAGTGTCAGTAAGAGCAGGTAGACATAGGACGGACCTGTCACCAGGTAAGTCACTGAACCCCAAGTGGGAATCACGGACACAGGCAGACACACACGTGTTCCAGATCCAATAAGAATCAGTCCCATTGCCTGACACCCTGTCAGACTTTCCTGTGAATAATCAGGAAAACAGGACTGTTATGCATGTAAAACCATTTTATCCCAAAGGGCCTTGCAATTATTACCCAGTTTGGGGACTAAGACACAGAAAATGTGACTGTAACGGTATTTCCTCTGATCATAAGGGAGGAGGAATGATTTGACACAGCAAGAGAAGACACAGAGGCCAAAAATCAAGATTGGAAACCTGGGTATAAGAGCTGTAATATTGGGGATTAAAATGAATGGGATGAGATAGTCAGTCAACTATTCAAAATGGGGCAGAAAATAATAAAGACCAAGGAGAGAAAGGGACCCCACCTTCTCTCCAAACACCCCCACATGTCTGTATAAAACACTTTTCTCCACAACATGACAAGGTCCAGCACCTGAATGAACCTCAGTCTGGGAGGGCAGGACAGTTCAGCACCAAGATCCCAGTGGCCTAGGAAGCAGCTGGGGACACAGCAGGAGGAAGTGAGAGTTTCCATGGTGACTGAGGCCAGAACACACAGGTCCCCTGGGACGGACTAAGATGCAGCTGCAGCAGGTCAGGGTGGGCCTGGAACGTGCCTGTGTGACTGTCCCTCCTAGCACCACCCTGGGAGTGGCTTCACTCCTGTCCACCTGCCATCACAGCTCAGGGACAGTCACCAGAGGAAGGCACCGTCTGTGCAGCACAGAGACCTGCTCTCCTTCATGAAATTTCAATCTCCCTCATGAAAAAGAATGAAATTTCAGAGATCATTGAATAGTTAGTCAAGGATTTTAAGGAAATTTGCACTCCATGTGTTCCGGGGTGTAGGAGAATGACTGGACGCGGTAATTGCAGACCAGGAGGACAAACACCACAGCCAAGTCACCACACAGACGTGGAAACTACAGGGTCTGAGACACAATGACCCGTGATGTGACTGACAGCAGGTTCATCTGCGCAGAGAAAAGAGAGGCACAGATGACGTGGAGGAGGAACTGCAGAGAGTACGTGAGACACAGACACAAAACCACACTGAAGACACACACAGAAGTGTCACTGTGCTGGACGACACGGAGGGGGCTTCATATGAGTGTGATTTCAATCTTTAAAGCAGAAAGGTTAGGTGGAATGTATGCAAATTATTTAAGGAAATACTGGCCAAATATGTTCACTTGTTATTCTCCACAAAGGAATATAATTCCCTACCTCACAGGTGCGGATCATGGTTTGAAGGTGGTGAAATCTCCCAGGATGGCACTCACAGGTGACCTCCCAGGTGGTCAGGAGACCATGGCACAGGTGTGAGCACTGCTCTGCATGAGGGGCCAGAGGGCCCCATGGGTCCCTGAGATGTGAGTGTGAGGAGTGGACACCTTGGGGTGGGAGGGCAGAGAGTAGCTGCTGTGGTCCCCTCAGCTGGGGACAGTGGGAGGCGTGTCTCAGGCACGAGACCCTGGTCCCCTCTCCACTGTCCCTCAGACCATCTCTGAGGAGTGAGTCAGAGGTCTGTCTCTCTGCGCACATGAGTCACCACAGGGCTGCGCAGTCCCCTCCAAGGGCAAGGCCTCCAGCATTTTGTACATGAACTCACTTCACTGCACCCTCAGCACCACCAGGGGGACAGCTTATGTATTTGTTTGGGACATCAGGTAACAAAAGTGATGTCTTCAAAATCTAAAATTTTGCAGTTTTATCAACTTAAAAGGCTTCTCTCCCAACACTGACACTTATGGAAACTCAATGGCTCTGACCATGTGAGAAAACAATCCTGACACAAACTGTTAGAGACCCAGCCTGAAATGAACTCTGTCCAGTCCCCTGATGCCAATGCCCCTTTGACATGGGACCCTGTGCCCTCTGCCAGGGAGGGAGCTTTGGAAGGGTCCCCAAGTTTCCCACAGACAGTCCCACGTGTCACTGGGAAGCTCAGGTGACAATACACAAGGACCTGGGCGCTCTTCATAGCAGACTCCTGGGGTACAGCACCCTGTGAAAAGAAAAGAGAGTGGTGACAGGGGTCCTGGGGTGGGGGCCGCAGGCACACGCGGCCCAGAGAGGGGTGAAGCAAGGAGAGGACCTAACACTCATGCTCTGGGTCGGCCTCCTGGATTCAAGTCTTGATTCCTCTTCACTGTCTGGGGGACTCTGGGAAAATCATAACCTCTCAATGACAGCCCCCAGCTCATGAGACAGGAGGAGGGGCTGGACCTTCAGCTCAGGGACGTTGTGGGGTTATTCTGATGTCAGGTTATTTTGACGTCAGGTGAGGGTTGAGTGTAAAACCCTCACCAAGGTTAACCATCCTTTAAGTTCTTAGAAATATCCATCTGATGAACTAGCTACACATGTAGGATGATTTCATCCTGTGCACAGCAGGGGGCACTGTGGATTCTCGATTGGGAAACTTTTAGGTTAGGTGCCCTTGAATGTGCTCAAGTGCAAAGGGCATGACTGAGATTACTTTGAAGACAGGTCTGTTGTGTAAAATCAATTCTTAACAATGAAACCAACACCTGGACCTTTTTCTGACCTCAGGAAATCACAGGCAAGAAGCTGTTAGGCTCAGGGATCAGACTCTGGCTGAGACAGACAAGCTGAGCAACAGTGAACAGATTTGCATTCAATGCTCCTCCCTCTAGAGCTGCAAGGACAGAGGATAAGACAGGAGCTTAGACAGGCCAGTGCCAGCTGGGCAGCCACAGGGCAGAGCTCCTGGAAGCCTCTCTCACCATGGACTGGGCTCCCTTCTACCTCCTGCCCCTGGTTTTCTCCACAGGTCAGTGCATCCCTGGACACACAGGGAGCCAGCTTCCCTCCAAGGACAGTTCCACTGGGCATCTGTCCAGTCTGAGTGCATTGGGCATCATCCCTGTGATTTGTGTTTGCAGGTCTCTGTGCTGATCCTGTGCTGACCCAGCCCCCGTCTGCTTCTGCCTCCCTGGGAGCCTCGGCCAAGCTCACCTGCACCCTCAGCAGTGAGCACAGCAGCTACACCATTGCATGGTACCAGCAGCAGCCAGGGAAGGCCCCTCGGTATTTGATGTATCTTAGCAGTAGTGGAAGCTACGGCAAGGGGGACGGGATCCCGGACCGGTTCTCAGGCTCCAGCTCTGGGGCCGACCGCTACTTGACCATCTCCAACCTCCAGTCTGAGGACGAGGCTGACTATTACTGTGTAACAGGGGACAGCAGTGGTAATGCCACAGTGACACAGGCCAATGGGGAAGTAGGACAAAAACCACCTTCCCCATCTGTGTCACACTCCCTTTTGACACAAATAGGACCAGAGACAAAGCCAAGAGCAGGTCTGGCCCCAGTCCCCAGACCTCAGATCCTCAGGTGGCCGCCTCCTCAGCCTCAGGCAGCTGTGCAGAGGGTGGGACAGCAGTGGATTCAGTCTCACAGGACATGACTGACCTGCTGCTTCCAAGGCCTGCATGTGAGTCACAGACAAAAGCATAAGTAGAAGGACACACAGACCAGGACACACATCCCATGGTAATGAACACTAATTATCCTTGTAATGGTCACTGGGCCTCTCATTGGTCACCTCTCCTGGATTTATTCCCCGAACTACCCACCTCACCCAAGCTCAGGTAGCCCTGGGATGTCCTGGAAGCCTGGGTTCTGAACACAGCAAAACAGTACAGGGGACACTAAGGATCCTCCTGCATCCCCTCCTCAGGACTCACCCATCCTCCCCCCATGCTGGGTCCTGTCAGCTCACAGCTGTGCTCTCTCAGGGAAGTGCTCCTGGTGGACAGGAAGGACCCCTCAATGTCCTGCCACTCTCAGATGGGGGCTGAGGGTCACAATGGCCTTACAGGACCTCCTGTCTGAGTCCATTGTCATCACATTGTTGGTCCCCACCCTTGCCTCTCACATTTTCTCCTGAAAGATCACCCCTAACCCTCGTACACCTGGTTCTCCATCCCCCATGTGCCCCCAGGGGGTCTCACTGCCTGAGTTAGAGAATCTGATCACCACAATTCAAGATGAAACCCCCCGAGGCCAAGGAGAACTATACAGAGACCCCAGAGCTCACACACACAATCAGAAGTCACACTTGTCCTGCAGCGGAAAGGACAAGTCCCAATCTGGACACCAGATGGACCTGTTAGAAGAGCTGGGCCTTGAGGAGAGAAATTAGCACCTGACCCCTCACTGCTGTGGTCCCGCCTACGGACGTGTGAGAGCAACTGATGAAGGATCGCACTGTTTGCATTAACTCGAATGAATCTGCAATAACCAGAACAGCAGACAAAAGGTACATATAAATACAAGTATTATTCCGCAACAAGAAAACATTCACCAAGTCTGCTGTCCGATCGATATTCCTGATTGGAAGCAGGAAAATACAAGCTATGATAAGCAGCAAAATCAACCAGTCGTCTTGGCCATGAAATTTCACAGATGATTGAATAGGTAGTCAAAGATTTAAAAAATATATATCTATTCTATTCATTTCGGTGTGTAGAAGAATACTTAAACACAGTAATTTCAGACTAGGAAGACAAAAACTACAGTCAAGTCAACAGATGCGGAAACCACAGCGTCTGAGACACAATGACCCTAATGTGACTGACAGCAGGTTCATCTCCGCAGAGGAAAGAGAGTCACAGATGATGTGGAGGAGGAACTGCAGAGAGGACGTGAGACACAGACACAAAACCTCAGTGAAGACACACACAGGAGCGTCAGGAGCTGGAGGGCAGGGAGGGAGCACCATCTGCTTCAATGTGATTGCAGCAGAGAGTTTCGGTGGAAGGTAGAAAAATTATTTGAGGAAATACAGGCCTAAAATATTCTGATTTCAGTGAAAACCGAGTACCTACAATCCAAGTACTCAAGAATGAGAAGATCAAACAAAATACAGAAAACATCAACACACATCACAACCAAATTCCCAAACCCAGTATTGACAAGAAAACCACAAAAGCCTCAGAGAAATGAGGCCCGTCCACGGAGAGGACGGAGCAGAGGGATCAGGGCAGGGGCCTCCCTGGGAACAGCACAGACGGGGGAGGGGGGCGGAGTGTCTAGAAAACTAAAAGCAACAACAAAACGACAAAAAAAACCCTGTCCACTTTTAAGTCTTTACCCAGTGAAAGTATCTTTCAAAAAAGGAAGCAAAGAAAGACTTTCCCAGATGTACAGAAACTTAGAAAACTGACACCTGCAGACATTCTGAACCAGAAAGAGCAGAGGACACGCCCGAGACACAGAGAACCAGGAATCCGTACAGAGAATTAACGGCATCAGGTATCATTACCACGTGGATAAATATGAACCATTTTCCCATATTAAATTCCATTACAGATATCAGTATTCAATGCAAAAACATTATAACAATTTGTGTTGTGGTTCATAATATGTGATAAAAGTGTAAATATGGCAATGTTACCAAAAGATTTGAGAGGAAGAGGAACCTCCTATGACAAACTCAGGTGTCTCACTCACAGCCAGTTCAGGTCCAATGTGACGTTTCTCACAAGGTCGTAACTTGGGCAGCAGGACTGATGTGTTGTCAGAATTCCCTGAATCAGGAGAGAAGGTCCCGTGTGACTTCCTGTGCAAACCAGAAGGGAAGAGGCAGCCCCTGTGTAGTGACAGTATTTGTGTGTCACCTGCTCACTCAGCTCGTCGACACAGGACAGGGGTCACAGTGCAGTGGCTCCTCCCTCCCCTGGGTCCCCCTTCAGTTGCTCTGACTCCTGGGTCAGGTGTGTGTGCTCAGTGTGACGTCAGTCCTGCCCCTCATCCCTTAATGTGACAGATTCAGGTCACATTGGGCCGACCTGGTTTGGACCATAACCCCCTTAGTTTCTCACTGTCCTTCCTGCTCAGACAGACCACACCCTCCCCCCAGGACACTGACCCTGCTGTCCCCACACTCACTTCCTCCTCCTGCTCCCTCTTCCCACCCTGATGGCAGCTCCAGGGTCCCCTCCAGAGAGACCCCTCCAGCCTCTCCCCACACAGGACCTGCCTGTCCATTCTTGCTGATCTCAACTAATTAACTGAGTACTACAACAGCTGCATAATTATTACCCTGTAATTATTTTTATTGATTGCTTACTTGATTGATTCATTGATTTCTGCTATTATTTCCCTCATTAGTCAGGATATTCTTTAATTCAAACATACACAGGACAATAAGAGATGTGGGCAGACAGGAGCCCCTTTTCCTCCTGCAGCAACAAGTCTGGGGCCCGACAGGTGTCTGCAGACACTTGCCACCCTGTGAGTTCCCGAGTCCTTCCCACTTTCTTCCAGGCCATGCCTGACAGTCAGGGTCGGCCTGTGAAAAGCTGCTAAACAACATGCCAGTGTGAGAAGTTGACCCTCACTCTAAACACTCCCCATTCAGGGCAGCAGACGAGGACATCACTGGTGTCACAGCGACGTTCTGGGTGGTCAGTGCACTGAGGACGGAGGGTGAGACTTGTGCACAGTCAACGGTTGTCTGTCCACATCCTGCCTGAAACCCCAGGATTATTTATGAAAAGTATCTTTAATAAACCTGGATGCAGTTTTCTTGGGGAAAAAAAGACAACATACAGGAAGAAGGCAACAGTGACTGTGCTGTGTCACCCACACCAGCGTGTCCACTGTGTGCTCCCATGTGCACACTGGCATCTGTGAGGCAGGACTGGCCCCGTTCACACGTCTCACCCGGGACGCAGTGTCTGGCAGACACAGTGGGGCTGACCCACTTTTTGCTGGGTGAGCATCTCCTGTCTCAGTGTTTGGGGCAGATGCCACCAGAGCCCTGTTTCTAACCTGCACTAGCAATGGCATCAGTGAGAGAAAGTCCCCAAATCCTTTGTTCCCCATGAGAGCCCAGAATGGAACCACAACCCCAGGGACATGTCAGAGATGCTTCAGGTTGGTCCTGCTCTCTCTTCTTCCCAATGAGCCTGCTCATATTTTTATGGGTTTTCTGAGCCTCCTGTGGCTGGAGTTGAGGCCGGTAGTGGTTATGGAGAGAACAGCAATACCCCTGGGACCCATGGTCCCTGGATCAGGGAGTCACCACCTGAGCAGTGGGTTCAGACTCTGCACCTGGACAGAGCACACACCTGCTCCCCCTGCAGCCAGTGTGGGGAGGCCACCAGGGGGCAGCAGAGACCACCTTTTAAAGCCTCTTGGAGACTGGGAGGGCCTGGGCATGAGGAATTCTACCATGCAGGGGGATTATTATAATGTATGTTTTGAATAATCTGTTCATTTATTAGTAATGAGAATAATTTAATTGTTCTAAAACAGGGGTTATTAACCACCACTCACACCTGTAGAAACAGCAGTCACTTTTCCACACTCTCACCTCTGACACCGATGACATAACACACTGACTGACTCTCTCAGGCTGGGTTCTTGCAGAACTGGCCTGTTTTTCCATCACAGGTCCTGGTAGTTCATTCCTGCCCAGCCCACCCCATTTGTGCTAACACTGTAACTGTCACACCTTTCAAGGACTGGAGCTGACCCTGGAACTGGGGCACACAGAAGACACTGGGACACTTCCCACCAGTCTCAAGAGTTCTCACCAAGTACAGCAACTCACAAGTCCTAAAAGTTCTGAGCACCATTAGCAAGGTATGAATTTTATTCAGGTTCGGATCCTCTCAATCTGTCACGGGGTTGAGGCACTACTCTGATCTCAGGCTTATATCGTCACCACTACAGTTAAGGCTCTATAGTGGGTTGGGAATATGCAGACAGACGTCACCTCTGATCTTGGCTGTGGTCAGACCAGCCCAAGAGTGAAGCCATGAGGCAGTCTGAAGTACAGATGTCACCCCCACACAATGGCAGCAGGGGATGAACCAGAAAACCCTGGGAATGAGCAGAGTACCAAAGTCTGTTTAACCATCACCAAAGAGGACATCTGAATTATTTTCAGTTTGGGGCTCGTATGTGTAAGGGCGCTGGTGTGAACTGAGTGACTGTGTCTTCTGCAGTTCGTACGTTGAAGTCCTTCCTCCCAGTGTAGCTGTGTGTGGGGACGGGGACTCTAAGGAAGTAATAAAAGCCAAAGGATGAGTCATGGGAGGGGCTGTGGTCTGGTAGGATCAGTGACCAGAGTTTCTCTGTCTGTCTGTCTCTCTCTGACTTCAAGTTTAAGCAACTGGTGGTATTTGTTTGAAACAGCCTGAGGTGACTAGTCAGGGGCTGTGAACACTTGTGTATGGGTCTTATGTAAACATAAGTTTTTAATTTTCTGAAGTAAATGCCCAGTGAGGCAGTGACTGGTTGTATGGCAATTGCGTGTTCAGCTTCATACTAAGCACAGGGCTGTTTTTCCATTTCGGCTCTGCCGTCTGACACTCCTACCACCACTGAGTGACTGACCCACTTCTCACTCCCTGACCAGGGTTTGGTGTTGCCCTGATTTCACTCCAGTCTGATCTGTTCTGACAGGGGTGCAGGTATCTCCCTATGGTTTTAACTTCCTTCCTGGGGGCTACTGACGAACATGTTTATGTTTTCTTGACAGCTATATATTTTTCCATCAACTGTCTGTGTCATTTGCCCAATTGTAAATTGAATATTGTTTGCTTTGATTATTTTTTAAACTTTTTTAATGACGTGAGAAAAGCGTGACTGTGTTGCTCCGCCCTGCCATGCCCTCACGGGCCACCTCACACCTGCACCTCATGCAGGTCAGACCCGAGTCCCTGGTGCATTTGGAAGACGCTCCACCTGAGCCCCCAGAAAGGGCTATTTGCTTTGTGTATTAATTCGTTTCAAAACTTTACACAAATATTTCTTTGATAGATTCTGATTGCCAAGTATTTTCTCCCACTTTATTGGGTTTTTTTAATTAACACTGTAAAAAGAAAGACTTTTGTAGAACAAAGTTTTTAATTTTAAAGGGTTTCCATTGATTTTCTTCCTTTTACATATCAAGCATGTCTAAGAAATCTACAAACTCTTACCAAGACCAAGATGGGAAAGATTTTTAATTTTCTAAAATGTAATAAAAACTCCCCCAGAGGCACATGACGAGTGTCACTGTGTCCTGGAGCAAATTCTAGCCTCTCACACCAGCCTGACCACTGTCCCTACCAGCTCCTGTAACCAGCACCCCCACCCCACACCACACTGTGACCTCACCACTGGAGGGGGCTGAGCATTCTCCCCAAGACCAGAGAGGAGACTCAGCCCAAGTGTGGGTGCAGGAGCTGGTCAGGGGTCAACACTGTCCCCTCAACACCACAGATAGCTCTGAACAACCCAGGCCCACACATGGAAATTAGGATCCAACTTTAAACCCTCCACTGGCCCCAGCTGCTCTCTGCTCAGTAGGTGCCACTCAGCAAGGCCACAAGAGGAAGGAAGTAGATTTGCATGGAGCCCCCTATTCAGGATAAGACAGGCCCTGAAGCCATATCCTCAGGTGTGGGTCAGAGGAAGATCCTGGGGCATCTCCACCATGGCCTGGACCCCTCTCCTGCTCCCCCTGCTCACTCTCTGCACAGGTGCTGACTCCCAAGGCTAAGCCCCCACAGAAACCAGAAGCAACCTGGCCCTGACCTTGCTGAGCACAGGGGATGCTGCAGGGTGTGTGCCATCTGAGCAGGAGGCCCTCATCCTCACACTCACCTCTCCTGTCCTCTCTTACAGGTTTGGTGGCCTCTTCTGAAGTGACTCAGCCCTCAGCAGTGTCTGTGAACCCAGGACAGACAGTCAGGATCACCTGCCAGGGAGAGGCCGTAAGAAAATATTATCCTTCCTGGGTACAGCAGAAGGCAGGCCAGGCCCCTGTAACAGTCATCTATGGAAACAACAATCGGCCCTCAGGGATCCCAGACCGATTCTCTAGTTCTGACTCAGGGGACACCAACACCCTGACCATCAGCGGGGCCCGGGCTGAGGACGAGGCTGACTATTACTGTGCAGCAGGGGACGGTAGTACTAATACTCACAGTGACACAGGCAGGTGGGGAAGTGAGACAAAAACCTCCATCTGTGTCACACTCCCCTCAGGACCCAGGAGGATGCAGACAAAGCCATGAGCAGCTTTGGCCCTGGTCCCATTTCTCAGGTCTCCAAGTGGCCCCTCCTCCCAGCCTCAGGCAGCTGTGCAGAGGGTGGGTCAGGAGTGGCTTCAGGGCGTCAGGACCAGGCTGCCTATTGTGTCTGGGCCACTGACTTAATTCTGAAAACAGGGCAGGAGAAATGACAGACTGCCAAAGACCTGTGTTCAAATGTAACAGTCCTCGAATTTCTGCATCATGGTGACTCATGTTCCTTGGCAAAATGCTCTGGATTCATGCCCAGAGCTGCCAGCTCAGTTGAGCTCCACAGACCCCAGGCTCCATAACGCCCAGGACTCTGAATGGGGCCAAGAAGTGACTGCACACCCAGCACCCCTGCTGGAGCCCCGGTGACCACGGCTGTGCCCTCACTGGGAAGTTCCCACAGGGCAGAGAATTCCCTCCCTCAGGGTCGTTCCTTTCCCAAGTGTGACACAGGCCTAGTCACAGCCCGATACCAAGATCCAAGCACCTGCCTCAGGTCACAAGGACCTAGAACTCCAGCTGAGTCCCCTGCTGTCACCGCGTCTCAGTTTCCAGGTCTTGCCTCTGAGCTTCCCTCCAGAGAGACCCCCTGACACCCCCCTGAGTAGGTTCTCTGTGTCAGAGGGAGTCTGCAGGGCCCAAGAAAGGAAATAACAGCCCAGTGGGAGCATGTGGGAGAGGAGAGGGCCCCACAAAGGTGACACTCTGGGCGTCTGCAAATGTTCCTGAGAGACTGGGGAGCTCACTGGGAGGAAACCAGCTGAGGCTGAGGAGGGAGGCACCTGAGGACACAGGAGGGGACGGTCACAGGTCAGCACACCAGCCTGCAGTGCCTGTGCCCAGTCGGGGGGAAGCTCCCAGTTCAGGCATCAGGTGGATGAGTCAGAAAATGTGTGTCCCACGGTGGGAAACTTAGTCCCAACCAAGGTCTGCTGTGGTGGCATCTCAGAAAGTGTCAGTCAGAGCAGGTAGACACAGGATGGACCTCTGACCAGGTAAGACACTGAACCCCAAGTGGGAATCCCTGACACAGGGGGACTTACACGTGTTCCAGATCCAACAGGAATCAGTCCCGTTGCCTGACACCCTGTCAGACGTTCCTTCGAACAATCAAGGAAACAGGACTGTTATGAATGTAAAAACCAGTTTGTCCAGAATGGCCCTGCAATTGCCCAGGTGACACAGTTTGGGGACTAGGAGACAGAAAATGTGACTATCAAGGTATTTTTTCTGATCATAAGGGAGGATGAAAGATTTGACACAGCAAGGGAGGACACAGAGGCCAAAAATCCAAACTGGAAAACTTGATATAAAAGCTGTAATAAAGGGGATTCAAAATGCACTGGATGAGATTGACAGCCCAGGAGATGCTACCAGAGAAAACCGTCAGCACTTGCTGTTGGAGCAACAGAATCTGTTCATAATGAAGCAGAAAATGACACAGACCAAGGTTAGGAAGGGATCCCACCTTCTCTCCAAACACCACCCATGGGACTCAAATAGAAGTCTCTTTGTAAAACACTTCTCTCCACGACATCTCAGGTTCTGGTACCTGAATGAAGCTCAGTCTGTCGAGGGCTGGAGAGTTCAGCACCAGGTCCTCTGTGGCCTAGGAAGGAGTTGGGGACACAGCAGGAGGAAGTGAGAGTCTCCATGGTGACTGAGACCAGAGCACACAGGTCCCCTGAGACCCACTAAGATGCAGACATGGCTGCAGGGGGGTAGGGGGGGCCAGAGAACCTGCCTGTGTGACCATCACCCCCAAGACCACCCTGTGAGAATTTCACTCCTGTCCACCTGCCACTCACAGCTCAGTGACAGTCACCACAGGAAGGCACCATCTGTGAATCTCAGGGGACCTGCTCTCCCTCCCTCCCAGGCTCCTTGCGGTTCTGACCCTGTCCTCACCCCTGCCCATATGTGTCCCTCTCATCAGGGTTGGGGCCCACTGTGTCCTGACTTCTCTCTTCTCCCAGGCACATGTGGCCCCTGGACAGATGGTGACCTATTTCCGTGCAGGAGCAGCAGTGGCATTGAACTTTATAATTGTGTCTCCTGATACCAGCAGGTGTGACCACATCCTAACGTTGCTGGGGTAGAAGGTCAAGGACGAAATGTCACCAACTCCAGGGGACAAGTTGCTCTCAGTGCTAAGATGTGTCTGCTCCTTAAGGTCCCAGAAAGTTCTCTCTCCTATTTCAAAGCAAGTGACTGATACAGTGACCTGCAGGGCGTCCTGTCCAACAGAAATAAAACTGTGAACCACACGGGTGACCTAGAATCTTCCAAAAGCCACACTGACAAATGGGAGGAAACCAGTGGCATTAGTTTTCATAGTAGATTTTGTTAAACTGACTTACTTGAAAATATTATCATTTTAACATGAACTAAATATACAATATTGATGTATTTCACGTTTTTCTTACACTGAGGTTTTGAAAACAGGAAAATATTTCAGTGTCCCCCACTCTGTGCACACACAGCCTCCAATTTCACGAGATGCAGATTCCCCCACAGGGACGACCTGAGTGCTCTGAGCACCTGGGTACAGAAGGCAGGACAGTGACTCAGGGGCTCAGGGCGCCTGGACCTTAGACAGGGGAGGAGCAGGACAAGGGACATGGAGAGGGACCGGGCAGGGACAGGATTCACAGGTGAGGCTCTGAATTCCGGCTCCTGGATTGGAGTCTTGAGTCAGCACCAGTGTCTGGGGGACTCTGGGAAAATCATACCCTCCCAGTGAGGGCTCCCTGCTCATCAGACAGGAGGAGGGGCTGGGCTGACATTAAATGGGGGCCGCAGGTAACACACTCACCAAGAGACAGCATTGGTTGAGGGTTGAAAGTAATCAACACTCACCCCACTGGAGGAACTAAAAATTGGAGGATGACATTCACCCTGCGGACAGCAGGGGGCAGTGTGGAACTGCCTTCAGGACTGATGGGTCTCATCTCCCCTGGGCCCCTCCTGTTCTCCTTTCATAACAGCACCCACCTCCCCCTGCCAGGGTGCCCTTCCCTGCACTAACCCTTCACCACTAACCAGTCCTTAATTTCTAAATCCTTTTCTTTGCAGAAACAGTCTAGTGACAAAATAACTCTCACAGTAGTTAGCCTTCTGGGATTGACATGCATTACTTCACATTTCCCTGAGATTCCCCCAAATTGCTGTTGTATGGAGTGGGTTCCTTTTCCTTGCTGAGCAGAATTCCGTGATCTGGGTGGTCCCAGTCTGTTTGACCACCCACCTGTGCAGAGACGCCTGGAAGGTTCTCACCTTGGGGGACTGCACCCCAGGGCCCAGGAACACACACGTGTGTGCAGTTTCTCTGTGGACGTCCGTTTGCAGTGTCTGAAATGATTGCCCTGAACTGGGATCGCTGGGCCCTGTGCCAGCCACGGGTTTGCTGCTGTCAGAAGCTGCCAGACTCTGTCCCCTGTCGGAGCCACTTCACACGCCTCGTCCCTGGTGACCATGTGTCCCCACGTGCTGCCGTCACTGGGGCTTGTCACCTTGTCTACTTTACCAGCTGACAGGTGCACACTGATTTCCCCCATATCTTTACCTGCATTTCCCTGCTGGCTACTGAGGAGCATCTGTCCATGTTCTGTTGCCATTTGCTGTCTCTTCCAGGACCTATCTGTTCGTGTTCAGAAACCACTGACCTGTTTCTAAATGTGTTCAATCCGTTTATCTTCTCACTGTTCAGTTTTAAGAGCTCTTCCACTACTCTAGGAGTAGTTTTTCATTTGATATTTAGTTTCAAATATTTTCTCTCACTTTCTTCTCCTTTTCATCCTCTTTCAACAAAACTGCAAAGCAGCATAATAACGGTGGTGTTGTCCAGGGTGGTCCATTGGTCTTTCCTTTAATGAACCATGCCCCTGGTGTCATCAGGATATTTTGAAAATCTCCACATCCCCACAAAAACTCTATGTCTTTCCCAAAAAACATAAAGAAAAATTTTTCCTGGGAGGTATGTGACCGGTCTCACAGTGTGTGATCATGGAATGTGGCCTGTCTCACCCAGCCTCACCCCTGTCCCTATAAGCTCACCCCACCCCTGGATGATCTGGTCACTAGAGAGGATGACAGATGGTTGTCCCCGAGCCCAAGGAAGCTGCCTAGAGACCAGACACACATGGGGTTCAGGTATAGGTACTGACGTCAGCAGTCACTCTCCTAACACCCCAGAGAGCTGTGGGGAGACTGGATACAGGCCTGGGTGTGAGGCCTTGAGTTCAAATGCTCCCTGGGCCCAGCTGCACTCTGCTCCACTGCACCTGCGCAGGGAGACCAAGGAGGGAAGGAGGGGGATTTGCATGAGGAGCCCCTGGTGGAGGATAAGAGAGGCCCAGAGACCACACCCAGCTGGGGGCACAGAGGCAGAACCCGAGGAGCCACCACCATGACCTGGACCCTGTTCCTGCTCCCCCTCCTCACCCTCTGCACAGGTGCTTCCTCACAGGCCCTGCCTGCAGGCTCAGCCCCCATGGGGACCCTCAGCTGGACCTGCCCCAAACCCTGAGCTCAGTCCAGGCACAGCCCCGAGACCGAACCTCCTGGAGACTGGTCTTTACCCTCAGCCTCCTCCCCCTCCTCTCTTACAGGCTCTGTGGCCTCCTACGAGCTGACCCAGTCGTCTCCCTTGTCAGTGGCCTTGGGAGATACGGCCAGGATCACCTGCACCGGAGATTTACTGGATAAAAAATACACTTACTGGTACCAGCAGAAGCCAGGCCAGGCCCCTGTGCTGGTCATTTATGAGGATAGCAAGAGGCCATCGGGGATCCCTGACCGATTCACTGGCTCCAGCTCAGGGAAGACAACCACCCTGACCATCAGCGGGGCCCAGGCCCAGGACGAGGCCGACTACTACTGTCAGTCAGCTGACAGCAGTAGTAATGCTCACAGTGACACAGATCGATGGGGAAGTGAGACAAAAACCCCTTCCCCATCTGTGTCACACACTCTCTTTTGACACAAAGAAGACCAGAGACAAAGCTAAG